CAGCTACACGACCGTTCCACACACACCAGACTCACACAGAGAGACTCACATACACACAGACTCACACAGAGAGACTCACACACACACAGACTCACACAGAGACTCACACACACACAGACTCCACAGAGAGTCCACACACACAGACTCACACAGAGAGACTCACACACACAGACTCACACAGATAGTCTCACACACACACAGACTCACACAGAGACTCACACACACACAGACTCACACAGATAGCTCGCACACACACAGACTCACACAGATAGTCTCGCACACACACAGACTCACACAGAGAGACTCACACACACACACAGACTCACACAGAGAACTCACACACACACGACTCACACAGAGAGACTCACACCACACAGACTCACACAGATAGTCTCGCACACACACAGACTCACACAGAGAACTCACACACACACACAGACTCACACAGAGACTCCACACACAGACTCACACAGAGAGACTCACACACACACAGACTCACACAGATAGACTCGCAGACACACAGACTCACACAGAGAGACTCACACACACACACAGAGACTCACACAGAGAGACTAACACCACCACCACCACTCGCCCACAGCTCGGTTCAACTCCTCACCTGCTCTGGGGTGTCTCGCGCTCTCTAACGGCAAACTGCCAGTGGGAAGCACGTGGCGCGAGACGCGGGGGCGGTACAAGTTAACCACGCCCCCCCCGTGATGTCACAGCCATTAGCTCCTCCCCCCCGACCTGAGCTCCTCCCCCCATGCCTCCTCTGCCCCCCACCCGAGACCCCCCCATGTACCCCCCTCAATACCCCCACCATGACCGTTCCACACAGAGAACTCACACACACACGGACTCACACGGAGAGACTCACACACAGAGACTCACACAGCCACCACTCACCCACAGCTCGGTTCCACTCCTGCAGAAGACCGACTCAGTGTAGTCCCAGGGCTTGCGAGCTGGTTTTCAGTCTCCAACGGCTCTTCTGCTCCAACGACTGCCTCGAGTCTCTCACGCACCGCCTTATATAGCCAACTGCCCCCCGAGGGCGGGGCTGTATGCGGACGTCGATGTCGACACCCCATGCACGGATGTAGACACCGCAACGTAATGGCTTGCTACACCCCGGTACGTAACGCCTCTAGATCTCGATTTAAAGCTTTCGTGACTGCAGGCATTCATCTTCTTGGTTCTTTTGGTAAAGTCACGTAGAAGGGAAATAATAAAAATAAAAATAAAACATAATAAAATATTCTTACGACTTTTCGGCCACAACGCAAGCAGCCATCCTCAGGTGAAGACCAGGTCTGTCGGGGAGACAGCGTCTGAATGAAACACCACCACGCTTGGAGCGTATATTTAAGCTTGGTTGAAAGGGGGGAAGGGCGCCTTGACAAATAATTTGCATATCAAGAGGAATTTAGCATATTTATGGAAATGCAGGTATGTGATTAGTACTACTGTACTTGTGAAATGCGTAGGAGGTGGGCGGGGGGTTTCAAAGTCATATTATGCCCGTGCATTATGCAGGATTAGCAGCATCAAAGGGAGGGGATAGGGGTAGCATTAATAAAGGGAAGGAATGTTAATAGTATGTAGCTGCAGTAACTAAACCACCACGTAAACAACTAAAGTATAAACTACGTAGACATCTCTAACGGCCAAACTGCCAGTGGCGCGAGACGCGGGGGCGGTACAAGGTAACCACGCCCCCCCCGTGATGTCACAGCCATGAGCTCCTCCCCCCATGCCCCTCCCCCCATGCCCCTCCCGGCCTCCCCTCGCGACCACCTTCAAAGTCCCCTCCCCCCCTCGCGAACCCCCATGCCCCTCCCCCCTCACCCCCCATGCCCCTCCCCCGCTCACCACCATACCCCTCCCCCCTCACCCCCCCCCATGCCCCTCCCCCCATGCCCCTCACCCCCCATGCCCCACCCCCTCACCCCCCATGCCCCTCCCCCCTCACCCCCCCATGCCCCTCCCCCCTCACCCCCCATGCCCCTCCCCCTCCCCCCATGCCCCGCACCCCCCCCATGCCCCTCCCCCTCACCCCCAATACCCCTCCCCCCTCCCCCCCCATGCCCCTCCCCCTCACCCCCCCATGCCCCTCCCCTCCCCCCCCATGCCCCTCCCCCCGCACCCCCCATGCCCCTCCCCCCCCATGCCCCTCCCCCTTCACCCCCCCATGCCCCCCCCCCTCACCCCCCATGCCCCTCACCCCCCATGCCCCACCCCCCTCACACCCCCATGCCCCACCCCCCTCCCCCCCCATGCGCCTCCCCCTCACCCCCCATGCCCCACCCCCCTCCCCCCCCATGCGCCTCCCCCTCACAAAACCCGCCATGCCCCTCACCCCCCATGCCCCTCCCCCCTCACCCCCCCCCATGCCCCTCCCCCCTCACCCCCCCATGCCCCCTCCCCCTCCCCCCCCCATGCCCCTCCCCCCTCACCCCCCCATGCCCCTCCCCCCCCCATGCCCCTCCCCTTTTCACCCCCCCATGCCCCCCCCCTCACCCCCATGCCCCTCACCCCCCATGCCCCACCCCCTCACCCCCCCATAGCCCAACCCCCCTCCCCCCCATGCGCCTCCCCCTCACCCCCCCATGCCCCACCCCCCTCCCCCCCATGCGCCTCCCCTCACCCCCCCATGCCCCTCCCCCTCACCCCCCATGACCCTCCCCCCTCACCCCCCCCATGCCCCTCACACCCCCATGCCCCACCCCCCCCCTCCCCCCCCATGCCCCTCCCCCCTCACCCCCCCATGCCCCTCCCCTCCCCCCCATGCCCTCCCCACCTCACCCCCCATGCCCCTCCCCCCCCATGGCCCCTCCCCCTTCACCCCCCCATGCCCCCCCCTCACCCCCATGCCCCTCACCCCCCATGCCCCACCCCCCTCACCCCCCCATGCCCCACCCCCCTCCCCACCCCCATGCGCCTCCCCCTCACCCCCCCAGGCCCCACCCCCCTCCCCCCCCATGCGCCTCCCCCTCACCCCCCATGCCCCTCACCCCCCATGCCCCTCCCCCCATCACCCCCACCCATGCCCCTCACCCCCCATTGCCCCACCCCCCTCCCCCCCCATGCCCATCCCCCCTCACCCCCCCATGCCCCTCCCCCCTCACCCCCCCATGCCCCTCCCCCTCACCCCCCATACCCCTCCCCCCCTCACCCCCCATGCCCCTCACCCCCCATGCCCCTCACCCCCCCATGCCCCACCCCCTCACCCCCCCATGCCCCTCCCCCCTCACCCCCCATGCCCCTCCCCCCTCACCCCCCCATGCCCCTCCCCCTCCCCCCATGCCCCTCCCCCCTCACCCCCCCATGCCCCTCACCCCCCCAATGCCCCTCCCCCCTCACCCCCCCATGCCCTCCCCCCTCACCCCCTCATGCCCTCCCCCTCCCCCCCCATGCCCCTCCCCCCTCACCCCCCATGCCCCTTGGCCCGCATGCCCCTCCCCCTTCACCCCCCCATGCCCCCCCCCTCACCCCCATGCCCCTCCCCCTCACCCCACCATGCCCCATGCCCCACCCCCTCACCGCCCCCATGCCCCACCCCCCTCCCCCCCAATGCGCCTCCCCTCAGCCCCCCATGTGCCCCTCCCCCTCACCCCCCATGCCCCTCCCCCCTCACCCCCCCATAGCCCCTCACGCCCCCCATTGCCCCATCCCCCTCCCCCCCATGGCCCCTCACCAATCCCCCCTCCCCCCCTCACCCCCCCATGGCCCCTCCCCCTCACCCCCATGATTCCGCTCCCCCTCCCCCCCCATGACCCCTCCCCCTACCCCCTCAACCCCCCCATGTCCCCTCCACGCCTCGACCCCATGCCCCTCCCCCTCAACCCCCCCATGCCCTCACCCCCATGATGCCCCACCCCCACTCACCCCCCCCATGTGCCCGCCCCCCTCACACCCCCCCATGCCCCTCCCCCTCACCCCCCCATGCCCCTCCCCATCACAACCCGCATGCCCCTCCCCCCCTCAACCCCCCATGCCCCTCCCCCCTCACCCCCATGCCCCTCCCCCCTCAGCCCCCCCTGCCCCTCCCCCTCACCCCCCATGCCCCTCCCCTCACCCACCCCCATGCCCCTCCCCCTCACCCCCCATGCCCCTCCCCCCTCACCCCCCCCATGCCCCTCACCCCCCATGCCCCATCCCCCTCCCCCCCCATGCCCCTCCCCCCTCCCCCCTCACCACACCCCATGCCCTCCCCCTCCCCCCCATGCCCCTCCCCCTCCCCCCCCATGCCCCTCCCCCCTCCCCCCCTCACCCCCCCATTGCCCCTCCCCCTCACCCCCATGCCCCTCCCCCTCACCCCCATGCCCCTCCCCCTCACACCCATTGCCCCACCCCCTCCCCCCCCCATGCCCCTCCCCCCTCACCCCCCCATGCCCCTCCCCCCTCACCCCCCCTGCCCCTCCCCCCTCACCGCCCCCATGCCCCTCCCCCCTCACCCCCCCAGTGGCCCCTCTCCCCCTCACCCCCCATGCCCCTCCCCTCTCACCCCCCCCATTGCCCCTCCCCCTCACCCCCCCATGCCCCTCCCCCTCCCCCCCCCCCATGCACCTCCCCCCCTCCCCCCCCCATGCCCCACCCCCCTCCCCCCCATTGCCCCACCCCCTCACCCCCCATGCCCCACCCTTTCCCCCCCCATGCCCCACCCCCCTCCCCCCCATGCCCCTCCCCCTCACCCCCCATGGCCCCACCCCCTCACCCCCCATGCCCCACCCCCAATGCCCCTCCCCCCCCCTCACCCCCCATGCCCCTCACCCTCCCCCCCCATGCCCCTCCCCCTCACCCCCCATGCCCCACCCCCTCACCCCCCATGCCCCACCCCCCTCACCCCCCATGCCCCTCCCCCTCACCCCCCCATGCCCCACCCCCCTCACCCCCCATGCCCCACCCCCCTCACCCCCCCATGCCCCACCCCCCTCCCCCCCCATGCCCCACCCCCCTCCCCCCGCTGCCACTTCCGCTGGGGTCGGGGCCGAGTGGAGGCGGCGCGCGCAGTGCATTGTGGGTGGCGAGCGGCTGGTTTGGATTCCCGCTCACGGCCACCGTCAGTGGCGAGCGGAAGCTTCTGAAGCGGCGGCTCGCTGGGCCTCCTCTACGTCGACTCAGCCTGAAGGTGAGAACCTCGCGCGGTGTGTCCACATCAGCAGTGGCGGCGGCGGTGGGAGGAGACAGAGGAGGCGCCTGGCCCACAGCCGTCACGTTCTGCGGAGTTCGCGGCGCAGCTTCAAGCAGAGCTCGGCCCTGCTGCTGCTGCTGTTGTGGTTACATTATAGTTGTGGTTACATTATAGTTGTGGTTACATTATAGTTGTGGTTACATTATAGTTGTGGTTACATTATAGTTGTGGTAAGTTAGTTGTGGTTACAGTTGTTGGTCGTGGTTATTGTTGTGATTATAGTTGTGTGGTTGTTACTGTGGTGGTTGTGCAGGTGGTGGCACACGAGTTAACCCATAGCACCAGGGTCTAGCCCTCCTCTTGTACCGAGCCAGGCAGAGCAGTCGGCCCATGGCACCTGAGTCTGGCCCGTGACCTCCTCCTGCACTTAGCCTGGCACAGCCGTCAATCCATGGCACCTGGGTTATTGTGGTGACGTCACCGCCACGTCGTGGTGAATGGCGACTGTTAATGTGTGTTGGCTTGTGTGTGAGTATGATGGTGAATGCGTGAGTATGATGGTGAGTATGATGGTGAATGCGTGAGTATGATGGTGAGTATCATGGTGAGTATGATGGTGAATGCGTGAGTATGATGGTGAGTATCATGGTGAGTGTGATGGTGAGTGTATCGTGGTTGGTGAGTAATACTGAGTGTGAGTTTGACTAATTATCTTCCCTCTCGCTGTCTCTGCTTTCCCCCCTAACTACCTCGCCTGGTATACAGGAGTTTGTAGGTTCGATCCCGACCCTGATGCCTGCTGTATATTTGGAGTTTGCGTGTCTCTGTCTCTCCCTGTGGTCGCGTGGATTTTTCTCCGGGTCCTCCGGTTTCTCTCTCCACATTAAGATACATTCGTTTAAAGTTTTGACTTAAAACTTTCGTGAGGGCAGGAATTAATATAATTGGTTCTTTCGGTAAAGTCACGTAAATAGAAAACAAAAACAAATCTATTTTTTAAGTTAAAAAAATGAGATAAATTGAAAATAATAAAAGCAATTTATTCGATTTATTACTCTTTTTTTTTTTGGTTTTCTATTTACGTGACTTTACCGAAAGAACCAAGAATATGAATATTCGTTTAAAGTATTTGGCTGCTATAATTTACACGTGATGATGAGCCACTTCGTTGAGCTATTATTGGTGGCAAGTCGCTTCTGAATAAGTAATATTTAAAAGTACTTTGTTTTTTTAAAACGCTTTAATTAAATTAAATGTACCACGACTCCAGGAAGTGGCCCCGATGCTTGCCATAACGTAAGGGGCCGTGGTGATTTACAGCCAACGTCAGTTGAGCGTGGACAATTAGACCCAAGCCGAAACATAACATAAAAATGAATGTTTAAAAATACTTTTTTTTCATATAATGTAGTTTTGTCATCAGTATGACATAAGTATACCAAGTTTGCAGTCGATACCACATTGGGAAGTGGGTTAAAATTGAGTTGCAAGATTTGAGGATACAACAACAACAACAGACAGAGTGAGTTAAATAAAAGCGCGTAATAAAAGAGATGTTCATCTCAGTGGACCTTACCTGGTAAAATGAAAATCGTTGAGATCTAGTTTTATCTCTCCTTCCCGAGCACAACAACAAGCAGGAGTAGTGGGAGGAGCATTCTCCACTAAGTAGTGGTGACGACACCACGGCGCTTGTGCCAGGATATGTGCACCATAGATATCCATCACATAGAGACCCATAGAGTCATCACACATAGACCTATACACGCACTACGCACAGACCCTCAGACTTGCACAGAGAACCATAGACTCACCACAAAGACCCATATACTCATCAGACAGAGAACCACAGACTCAAACAGATCCACAGACTCGCACAGAGCCCTATAGACTCACCAAACAGAGACATAGACTCACCACAGAGAGACACATAGACTCACCAGACAGATACCCATAGACTCAATCGTAACCATACTCGCACAGAGACCCACAGACTCGCCACACATACCCATCTAATTACCACACAGAGACCCATAGACCTACACAAAAGCGCATAGACTCATCACACAGAACCACAGACTCAAACACACCCACAGACTCGCACAGAGGTCTATAGACTCACCACACAAACACACGGACTCACCACAGAGCCCCATAGACTCACCACAGAGACCCATAGACTCATCAGACAGAGACGCATAGACTCACCCCACAGAGACTCATAGACTCACCCCACAGATACCCATAGAGTTATACAAAAACGCATAGACTCATCACACAGAGAACCACCGACTCAAACAGACTCGCACAGAGCCCTATAGACTCACAAAACAGAGACACATAAACTCACCACACAGAGACACATAGACTCACCTCACAGAGACCCACGGACTATCACAGAGACCCATAGACTCACCACACAGAGATCCATCGACTCACAGAGACCCAAGTGCTCGCACGTGAATGTGTGGTGATTTAGTTGAAGGTGGAGGGGGGTTACCAGCCCCTCGCACCCATCCAGAACTCCCTGTGGCCACTGGTGGCTGCGGGCGACGTGAGGTTCACAGCTGGTCAGGGTTGGCGCCCCCCCCCCCCCCCCCAAAATGTCATCTCTCACAACCACCGCTGCATTATCAACCGTCACCATTCGCCAATAAGTGACAATGACGTTACCACAGCGCCTGTGCCAGGCCAGGTGCACTTTGAAGTCACGTGAAGTGTCGAAGGCTGGCTGACCGGAGGTCCTGGAACAGGCCCAGGTGCCATGGGTTGGCTGACTGAGATGACTGTCAGCACCACCTGTACCCCGTACTGTGCCAAATTGCTGCATATTTATCATCCGGTGTTCCGCTCGTTGTTGTGAGTGTCACTCCTCCGTTGTTGTTGGAGGGCGATTGTCGCCAACTGCCAAGTAGAAGCATCCTTCACGAGCCTCCCCGCAGAGGCCGATCTCGACACCACTGGTACCAGTCGTCGGCAAAGCCCACTCAGCTCCACATCCTCCCGTACCGCATCAGTCCACCTCCACTCCAGCCAATGCCGTGCCCGCCCAGCTCCCTCCATCCACCCACATACTCACTTACCGGCTTACTCACGCACTCACCCACTCATATCTGCTCTCGCACCTACGCATGAAATTTTAAATGCAGGCTACGCAAAGCATCGTGATCAATTTACACCAAAATCTACTCTCAACCACTTAAACCACATATTCGTAAATGATGCGCACCATAATCAGCCACTATGGCTGTGTGCAGGGTGTTGTGATGTCACGTAGTACGACGTTTTTCTTGCTCCCCCCCCCCCCCGTTTTAACGCGGCGTCTATCTATGGCCTCGTCACATTGGCCTTAATGGACGCGTGGTGATGGTGAAAGATGATTCGGCGGTGGATACTGAATTACCGGAGCCCCATTTAACATTCAGGTGACACGGTGCACGGTACGTGAAGAACCTGTTATGTCCTGTAAGCAGACTTCTCTGCGTGGGATAGTTAACACCTCTTAATGCACAGACAACCGCCAACGCAGCCTCGCCTGCCGGAGGAGCTCGCTGATGATCGGACAGTGTTGAGATCTCTCAAGGATCTGTGAGTTACTCGCACACAAAGATCCCCGTATAGCCTTTAACAGACTGTTGGGGCAAGTGCTTTATAACATCAAAGGGGCGCTGCAATACGATGCAATCAAAATCACCGATCAGAGATTTTCCCATATATGGTCTTTGCTGATTGTGAATCGATACTAATTGTATTGATTCCACTCAGTCGATACAGCAGCAAGCTCAAAATGTCCGATTTTATCTGAAAATTTCTGCGTTTCACAGATCATACAAAGCAACGGTATTGATGCCTGGTTTGTATGTACTTTTTATTTTAAAAAAAATGCATGTAGTCTATCAGACTTTTGTATTAAATCGCTCTGCAAAAAGTCATTTTGTATGCTAATAAATCAATGTTATGCTAATGCAAAATTTCATCATAGCCGCGACTCGGTTTACTCCGATATGCAATGTCATCTTTATTTCGATCCTGTGAGTGTACAATTTTATATTAAACTTCATTTACTGAGTGAATACAAGACCACTTATATGCTGATGTCCATTTTTATCATAGCTGTGATTCATTCAGCCATTCACTCACTCAGCCACAAACTCACTCAGCCACCCACTCACTCAACGACTCACTCAACTACTCAGCCGCTCACTCACTCAGATATTCACTCACTCAACCACTCACTCAATTATTAACTCAACCACTCAACCAATCATTCAACCACCCACTCACTCAATCACTCAACCATCACGCTCTCACTCACTCAACCATTCACTCACTCAGCCACTCACTCAGCCACCCACTCACTCAGTCACTCAACCACTCACTAAACCACTCACTCATTCAACCGCTCGCTCACTCAACCATTCACTCACTCAACCACTCGCTTGCTCACTCAACCACTCACTTGCTCACTCAAGCACTCGCTCACTCAACCACTCACCCAACCACTCGCTCAACGACTAACTCTACCACTCACTCACTCAACCCCTCACTCAACCTTTCACTCAACCCCTCACCAAACCACTCACTCAAAGACTCACCAGAATCCTCTCGGCTTGGGGACTCACTTAACCACTGACTTAACCACTCACTTAACCATTCACTTAACCACTCACTAGAGCAACCACTCACTCACTTAATGACTTACTCAACCACTCAACCAATTACTTTCTCACTCACTCAGCCACTCACTCCTTCACTCAGCCACTCACCCTTTCACTCAGCCACTCACTCATTTAGCCACTCACTCAGCCACACACTCAACCACTCAGCCGCGCACTCACGAAGCTACTTACTCACGAAGCTACTTACTCACTCAACCACTCACTCACTTATTCACTTACTCAACCACTCAACCATCACTCTTTAACTCACTCAACAATTCACTCAATCAGCCACACTCACTCAACGACTCACTAACTTAACCGCTCAGCCGCTCAGTCACTCTATCTCAATCACTCAACCACTCGCTCACTCAGCCACTCACTCCCTCAACCACTAACTGACTGAACCACTCACTCAACCACTCACTCATTCAACCGTTCCCGAATTCATTCAACCAGTCACTCAACCATTATGTCGCTGGACGAGTCCCACCTTGATGGGTCTGCGACATTTCTTTCCAGAGTTATTGCCAAAAAACCACAAACATCCCAGAATCCTCTTGGTTTGGGGTCCAAATGTTGTCGCTTATTGTATCCCATGAGAAACATCGCATCGAATAATTGTGATTGGATTCTCCCTGCCTGGACGAGCAGAATTGAATATGTAAGCATCAGGATTTGGATCAAACCTACAACCTCCTGTATACCGGGCGAAGTAGTGAACTCGTCACCCGGGTTGCCCTAATCCATTCCCGTATCTCTTTTTCTGTGTGTGTGCTACAGGCGGGTGTCTCAGATTGCCAGCACCATGTGATGGGAGCTCCAGGGCATGCTGTGTGCTCGCCAGGAGGGGCTGGGCAAGATGGCGTAGTCGCTGGAGCAGCTGCGGGCGCGGCACCGCCGCTCTCACCCTGGCGGAGTGCAGCAACACAGTGGGGTGGCACCAGCGGGACACTCTGGACAACGCAGCCAAGGTGCGCGCCAGCCACTCACTCATCCACTAACTCAGCCACTCATACAACCACTCACTCACTCATCCACTAACTTAAACCACTCACTCAACTACTCACTCACTCAACCACTCACTCAACCACTCACTCAACCATTCACTCAACCATCCACTTACTCAACCACTCAATCAATCACTCACTCAGTCATTAACTCAACCACTCACTCAACCACACACTCATGTGCTCAAACACTCACTCATTGGTTCAAACACTCACTCATTCAAATACTCATTCAACCACTCACTAATTCACTCAACCACTCACTCACTGAACCACTCACTCAACCACACACTCGCTCACTGAACCAATCGCTCCATAAATCACTCACTCAGCCACTCACTCAACCAATCAGTCACTCAATCATGAATTAAACCGCTCACTCACTCAACCCCTTACACACAGGCTCATCGCCTGTGTCTCAACCATCTCACTGAGTAACATAACTCTTTTTTAAGAAGTGACCTGGCCACAAATGATAGGTCAAAACGTGCCTCATGTGGAAATTTATAGCAGCCAACTACTCTAAACGCCTGTTTCTAAATGTGTAAGGAAAATCCAGAGGACCAGAATAAAAATCCACTTGACCACGGAGAGAACATGCAAACTCCAAATATACAGGTGTCAGGGTTGGGATCTAACCGACAACCTCCTGTATACCAGACGAGGTAGTTAACATTGTATCCGGGCAAGCCGTACATCGAGCTGGAGTGGACCATGCGGCCCATCCCTATCGCGTAAGTGGCTCCCACTGTTGTTATTGTGTTCATATGTGTGTGGTCTGCTTGTGTGTATGCGTGTGCTGCACTGCGCTATGAACCCAACATGACCAGGCTGTTGCCCCGCTCGCCCGACTCGTTGAGAGGTTGGCCACCCCCCAGGGCGTTGTCGTGAAGATACCGCTGGGAGGAAGAATATCTCACAATACTGGAAGAGGTGAGGACTACACAGTAATTAACTGAGTGGGTCTGTGAGTGAGTTAGTGGATGAGTCGGTGGGTGAGTCGGTGGGTGAGTGGGTGGGTCAGTGGTTGAGGGAGTAGGTGAGTGAGTGTGTTAGAGAAGTGGGTGTGTTGAATGTGAGTGAATAGATGAGTGTGTGGAGGAGTGGATTGTTGAGTGAGTCGTTGGGTGAGTGAGTAGGTGGGTGTGGGTTAGAGATTGAGTGGGTGGTGGGTGATTGTGTGAATTAGTGGGTGGGTGGGTGAGTGAATGGTTTGAAGTGATTGATTAGGTGAGGGAGTGGGTGAGAGGTGGGTTGGTGAGTGGATGAGAAAATTGGTGGGTTAGAGATTGAGTGGGTGGGTAACTAGGTGATTGGGAGGGTGAGTGGGTGAGTGGCTTAATGGGTGATTCAGTCGGTGGGTGAGTAGATGAGTGCCTGGATAAGTAAGTGAGTGTATGGGAGCATGAGTGGGTGGATGGTTGAGTAGGTGGGTGAATAGGTGAGTGGGTGGTGGGTGGGTGAATTAGTGAGTGACTGTGTGAGTGAGTGCGTGGGTAGGTCAGTGCGATATTGTGTGGGGGAGTGGGTGAGTGAGGGGTTGAGTGAATAGGTTAGTGGGCGGGTGAGTAGATTGTTGGGTGAGTGGGTGGGTGAGTCAGTTAGTGGGTGGGTGAGTGAATATCGAAGGTTGAGCAGGTGAGTTGTTAGTGTGTGATTGGGTGCGTGGGTGAATCAAAGAGTGAGGCACCACGGTAGCGACATGTTAACTACCTCGCCTAGTATACAGGATTTTGTGTATTCGATCCCATCCCTTCCACCTGTATATTTGGAGTTGGCATGTTCTCCCTGTGGTCGTGTGGATTTTTCTCCGGGTCCTCCAGGTTTTCTCTCCATATTTAAAATCAACATGCATTTAGAGGATGTGGCTGCAATAAATGTCTCCATGATAATCCATTTCGTTATCCTATCATTTGTAACCAGGCCACTTCTGAAAAATATTAATTTAGTTATTTGAACCAGAGGTCGCAACCGGGTACCCGATACCCGTACCCTACCCGATACCCGGCTACCCGTACCCGGCCGGGTACGGTACGGGTAGCCGTTTGCGACCCTGGGCGGCCGGGTACGGGTACGGATAGGCCGTGAGTCACTGGTGAGTAACCGTTTGTCACTCATTTCGGGTAGGGTACGGGTAGGGAACGGGTACCCGTACCTCTGATCTGAACCTTTTCTGGTAAAATTAAAAAAATATTGTTTAATTTAGTTTATTGGGTGGGTGAGTGGGTAGGTGGGTTATTGAGTGATTTGGTGGGTAGGTTAGAGATTGAGCGGGTGAATGGGTGGGTGTGTGAGTGGGGGTGTGATTAGTTGAGTAGGTGAGTGGGTGAGTAAATTGTTGAGTGAGTGGATTAGAGATTGAGTGGGTGGCAGGGTGAGTGGGTTTGTGAGGTGGGTTGGTGGGTGTTTGAATGGGTGAGTGGGTGGAGTGCCGTGGTGGCGAGCTGTTAACTACCTCGCCTTTTGTACAGGAGGTCGTAAATTCGATCCCGACCCTGACGCCTTGTCGCGTGGAATTTTCTCCAGGTGCTCCGGGTTCTCCCTCCACATTTAAAAACATGCAATTATAGAATTTGGCTGCTATAACTTTATACGTGAAAAGCCACTGAATTGAGTTGATATTTGTGGTCAAGTGGTTTTTGAAAAATATCTATATAGCTGAGTGCCTTACCTGGTAAAATAAAAAAAGCTTAATTTTTATTTAGTGTGCAGATGAGTGGCTGGGTGGGTGAGTGGATGAGTGAGTGCGATGTTTGATGGGTAGTAGGTCAGTGGCTGGGTGAGTGGGTGAGTGTGTGCTTGGCTCGGTGGTTGAATGAATGGATGGTTGAGTTAGTGGGTGGGTGTTTGAGTGTGTGTTATCGTGGGTGGGAGAGTCAGAGAGTGGAGTGCCATGTTGGCAAATTGTTAACTATCTTGCCTGGTATTTTTAAGTTCGTAGGTTCGATCCAAACCCTGCTTCTCAAAACAATCTATATAGCTCAGTGGGCATTACCTGGGGAAAAAAAATGTTTGATTTAGTTAAGGGTGTTGGTGAGTGGGCGGGTGGGTGAGTGCATCAGTGTGGGTTTGAGAATTAGTGGGTGGCTTGGTGAGTAGGTAAGTTCGAGTGACTCAGTGGTTGAGTTTGTGGGTGGTTACGTTAGTAGGTGATTAAATTAGTGGGTGGGTTAATAATTACGTTGGTAGTGGGTGAGTGGCTGAGTGGCTGAGGTGGTTGGCTCGGTGGGTGGGTGAGTAGGTGGGTTATAAATTGAGTAGGTGGCAGGGTGAGTGGATCTGAAAGTGGGTGAGTGAGTAGGTGCATGGCTGGGTGAGTTAGTGAGTGGATGGATGAGTGAGTGGGTGAGTGTGTGGGTGCATGGATGTGTGGGTGGGTGAGTGTGTGTGGGTAGGAGGTTAAATTTCGATTTAAAGCTTTCGTGACTGCAGGGATTCATCTTCTTGGTTCTTTCGGTAAAGTCACGTAGAAGGGAAGTAATAAAATAATAAAAATAAAACATAATAAAACAATTCTCACGACGTTTCGGCCACAACGCAAGCAGCCGTCCTCAGGTGAAGAATGAGACAATGCCAAGCTAGGAGCTTATATATAAGCTGCGTTGGAGGTGGAAGAAAGAGCGCCTTAACAAAAGAATGTGCATATGAAGAGGAATTTAGCATATACATGGAAAATGCGTAGGAGGTGGGCGGGGGGGGTTTCAAAGTCATATTATGCCCATGCATTATGCAGGATCAACAGCACCAAGGGGGGGTGCAGGGATTAGCAGTAACAAAGGAAAGGAATGTTAATGATATGTAGCTGCAGTTACTCAACAACCACGTAGAAAACTAAAGTATAAACTACATAAAAAACTAAAGTATAAATTGCATAGCACCATCAGTATACTTAGTATACTTACTATACTCTACACTAAGCTGAGTTACTAACAACAAGTACTAAATGTATTACTTGTTGTTAGTAACTCAGCTTAGTGTAGAGTATAGTAAGTATACTGATGGTGCTATGCAATTTATACTTTAGTTTTTTATGTAGTTTATACTTTAGTTTTCTACGTGGTTGTTGAGTAACTGCAGCTACATATCATTAACATTCCTTTCCTTTGTTACTGCTAATCCCTGCACCCCCCCTTGGTGCTGTTGATCCTGCATAATGCATGGGCATAATATGACTTTGAAACCCCCCCCGCCCACCTCCTACGCATTTTCCATGTATATGCTAAATTCCTCTTCATATGCACATTCTTTTGTTAAGGCGCTCTTTCTTCCACCTCCAACGCAGCTTATATATAAGCTCCTAGCTTGGCATTGTCTCATTCTTCACCTGAGGACGGCTGCTTGCGTTGTGGCCGAAACGTCGTGAGAATTGTTTTATTATGTTTTATTTTTATTATTTTATTACTTCCCTTCTACGTGACTTTACCGAAAGAACCAAGAAGGTAGGAGGTTAGTTGGGTAGTGCGTGAATGGGTGGGTTAGAAATTGAGGGAGTGGGTTAGTCACTGGGTGAGTGAGTGGATGGGTGGGTTTGTGAGCTTTGGTTAAGAGATTGAGTCAGTAGCAGGGTTGGTGTGTGGTTTAGAGATTGAGTGGGTGGTTGGGTGAGTGGGTGGTTGGGTGAGTGGGTGGGTTAGAGATTGAGTGGCTCGGTGAGGGAGTATTGGGTGGGTGAAGTGAGTTGGTGGGTCGGTGAGTGCGTGGGTGGGTGATTCAGTAAGTGGGTGAGTGAGGGGTTGGGTGAGCAATGGGTTGAGTGGGTGTGTTTTTTGTTCGTGAGTTTGTGGGTGGGTGAGTGGGTCAGTTAGTGGTTGGGTGAGTAAGTGGGTGGGTGAGCAAGTGAGTGAATGGGTGTGTTGGTAGGTGAGTGTGTAGCTTGGTGAGTGGTCATAGGGTGAGTGGGTGGGTGAGAAAGTGGTTAACTGAGTGAGTGGTTGGGTGGATGGGTGAGTTGTTGACTGAGTGGGGTCAGCGAGTGGGTGGGTGAGTTGATGTGGGAGGTTGAGTGGGTAAGATAGTGTGTGAGTGAGTGGATGGGTGAGTCAGAGAGTGAGGCGCCAAGGTGGTGAGATGTTCACTGCCTCACCTAGTATACAGGAGATTGTGGATTCGATCCCGACCCTGTCGCCTGTATATTTGGAGTTTGCATGTTCTACACATGGTCGCGTGGATTTTGCTGCAGGTCCTTCGGGTTTTCCCCTCTGCATTTAGAATCAACATGCATTTAGAGGATTTGGCTGCAATAAATGTCTATGTGATAAGCCACTTCGTTTATCTATAATTTGTTCACTGGTCTATTCTGAAAAGGATCTATATAGCTCAATGGGCCTTACCTGGTGAAATAAAAAGTAGTTTAGTTTAGGGGGTAGGTGGCTCGTTGGGTCGGTAGGTCTGTTGCAGGTCGAGTAGGTGGCAGGGTGAGTGGGTGAGTAGGTAAGTGGCTGGGTGAGTGGGTGGACTGCTGAGTGTGTGAGTTAGAGATAGAGTGGGTGGATGGGTGGGTGTATGATTGGGGGAGTGAAATGGTGAGTGGATGGGTGAATGAATTGTTGAGTGAGTGAGTCAGTGAGTGGGTGTGTAGGTGGGTGCGTGGGTAAGTGGTTAGCAAGGTGTGTGGGTCTTTGAGTGGGTATGTGGCTGAATGGGTATGTGGCTGAATGGGTATGTGGCTGAATGGGTATGTGACTGAATGGGTATGTGGCTGAATGGGTATGTGGGAATGGGTATGTGGCTGAATGGGTATGTGGCTGAATGGGTATGTGGCTGAATGGGTATGTGGCTGAATGGGTATGTGGCTGAATGGGTATGTGGCTGAATGGGTATGTGGCTGAATGGGTATGTGGCTGAATGGGTATGTGGCTGAATGGGTATGTGGCTGAATGGGTATGTGGCTGAATGGGTATGTGGCTGAATGGGTATGTGGCTGAATGGGTATG